AGAACCTACAAAAAACCCCCACAGAGCTAGCGCAAACTACAACCACCCAAAAAAAAAGGACTCGGTGTCACCGCTCGTCCCCTGAGGGCTGTGAAAAACCTCTATCAGGCTCACAGAAAAATCTGTGATTTGTGCCCCAAACCTCTGTGTGGGCAACGACCCTGCCTGCAAACGGTGCATTTCCCAACCACGTGCTTTAACGGGGTTTAACTCGCTCCCGAGGGCCATCTCCTAACGGAGAAGGGGGAGCGCTGGGTGCTCCCTGCAGCCCCGGCCCCGCGCGTGCCAAGTTTCAGACATGTTCGCAACCGTTAACGAGCAATAATTAGCGGAGCCCAGCCGAGACGGTGTTCCCAGGCCCCACCAGCGAGGTGGACTGAAACCAGCCCGAGATTAAAATTCAGAACGCCGTCTTCCCGTCACGAGTTTAATCCAATCACGGCAGGTTCTTCCAGGATCATCACGGGGTGTAAAATCCTGCAAGTAGGTAACGATGCCATCATCGACGGGGGAAGAACAGACCTGCAGCTCTAAACCCTCCTGAAGACCCTGATGGGGTAAGGGGATGCACCCCGAAACCAGGCTCCTTCAGAGCCACAGTATCAACGTGTCAAGGAAAATATTTACTGATTACTCAGAGCTTATATAACCCATGGGGAATCTTTGTGCTGCCTGTCTGGCAGAAGTAAATCACGAGGATGACGAGCTAACAACCTCCCTCCTCGAAACGATCTGCCAAAGCTACAAATTAGAACCCTTCCCTGTGACCAAACTCAATTTCTTTCTGCCCGCAGAAAACCCCGGAGCATCCCCCAGTGTACGCCAGGGAGATGTGACATTCCTGAAACCAGGGAGGAGCATTCTTCTGACATTTCTGTGCCGGTAAAGAGGACAGACATACACTTCAGGGGCCAGGAGCTCATTTGCCGTGGCAGCAGGGTTCCAGCAAGCCACGCTGAGTGTTCTTTTTTACCTTTCAGGCTTTTTCCAGGAGCAAAAAAAAAAGCTTGTTAAAGAAAACCAAGGGAGAATGCCTTCCTGCCTATAATAATAAATCCATGAGAGCCCAGGATTGAAGAGATGTGGGAAAGGACTCACTCTTGCAGTGACCTGTCCAGGTCCTCGGCGGTGGCCGTGCCCAGGTCAGAGTCGCAGGAGAGCGGCTCCTCGCTCCGCTCGGGGCTGCGGGCACAGGGAGGCGGGAGGACGCCATCGGAGCCCAGGCTGGAGGAGAGCTGGGACGAGCTCGTGGTGTTGAGGCTCAACGAGGACGACGTGAGCTTGATTTTGCCGCCAGCTTTGCCGTTAGGGAGGGCGGAAGGTTGAATCTCGATCTCATCCGACCCCGACGATTGGGAGATCGAGCCCAGCGAGGCTTTTCTGTGGGATTCGGACGTCGAGGACGTGAGGGGCTCCAGCAGCTCCGAAACGGGACACAAACCCGACAGGGACAGAGGCGTTATAGTCCACTCGTTCAAAACTGCTGATTTATAGGAGAGCTCGAAGGTTAAGGAGGATAAGCCCTGCAAGTAGCTAAGGAGGAACTCGCACTCTTCAGCATCTAAAAGCAAAGCAGTTGCCTGGTAGTATTCGGGCAGCCGGGATTTCTCCCGCAGCAGGAGCTGCAGGTAACACTCCACGAGGCCGTCGTTCAAAGCCAGCCTCAGCCAGGCTCGGCAGCGACCGACATCCGTATTGATAAAGATGAGTTGTTCCAGCTCGGAGATGATATTTCTAGGGAAAGGGAGAGAAAAGGATGTGAGCGGCTCCCGTTTTCGGGCTGCAGATCCTCCATCAGAAACTGCCCAACCTGCTCTGCTACAGGGGAGTTTAGGAGCTGGGACAAAAAACCAAAAACGTTGCAGAAAATCTCTTTCCTTCTTGGAAAGCGTCGTTTCCCATGGAGAAAAACAAGCTCCTGAATGCCCCAAAGCTAAATATACTAGTAATGACCCCCAGCATTGTTTGGGTGCCTCTGGGTGCTCCTCCTCTCTCTGGCTGGAGGCATCTCCCACACATCACTCGCCCTGGACCAAGGATGCAGAGGGGGAAACTCCTGTTGTCCCTGCATGTTGGTGGGGCTTGCTTTGGCTGGATACTCCTTGGTGAAAATCGTGTGTCTAAACCCTAGCTTCAAATCTAAAATCAGTCAAAATGCACTGAAAACTGCTGCGGTTTTCAATCTGACCGGGTCAGGTTGAGCTCCTCAAGCAATCTCAGCCTCCTGACTTCAGCTGCTCCCCGCTAAAATCCAACAGCGACGCCAAGCTCCCTCATCCTCCCCAGTCCCAGCTCACGGCAGATCCTACAAAAATCAGAGCTAAAGTTCTGTCAGATTGCTCTTTAAGTCGTCTCTCAGGAAAGAACTAAAAAACAAACCTTCAAAGGGCACCAAAATATCCCCCGTAGCATGCGAAAGAGTTATTTTCATCCGCTCTTGCATAATTTAAGAGTCAGTGATGGGGTTGGATGAGGTTTTCAAACCTCTTTGTGTGTGGGCTGGTGTTTAATGTGGGAGGACTCCGCTTAGGGAGTGGCTCTGAAAAACCCCAGCAAATACCGAGTTACTCGGGTGAGACCTTCCCAAAGGCTGGTTGGGACACGAGGAAACAGAGACAGACCATTCCCAGCAGATCTAGGGCAGAAGAGAGAGCAGAGCCCCTGGCTTTGCTGTCCTACCTGCACCTCCGGCCATCCTGGGCAGCCCCTGAGACCCCTGTGAGATATTTCTCCCCGCAACAGAGCGGGCTGAGCACAGGAGATGGGGCAGAGCTGAGCCTTTCCATCCTCCTGCTTGCAGTTACCTGAACCTTCGCACCGAAGGGATAAACCCGAGCGTGTAAATCCTTTTCGGCAGGGACAGGCACTCACCGATGGGTGATACTTTTCAGCAACCCCCAAAAAACCGGCTGAGGGAGCGGTCCCCGACCTCCAGCTTTCTTCCCTTTGGCCCCGCTCTCCGTCTTGATGTGCTTCGCCTTCAGCCCGTGCACGAAAACGGCTTCCAGGGCGCTGCAGAGGGTGTTGGCGTTCCCATCGTCGCTGGTGACAACAGCATCCGAGGTCACGTACTGCTTCTGCAACGCCTTGATGGCGTTCACCAGCTGCTTCTTGATCAGCTGCGAGACAGGAGGCACATGCTCACGTTAGAAAAAGAAACAAAAAAAAATAAAAAGAAGCATTCAGCAAGATGTAAAAGGGCTCAAAACCCGCAAGGCTTATCCAGAAGGAAGCATCACACAACTCCTGCTTCGTCCACATGTGGCTGGTGGGGAGCTGAACCGGTCAAGCTGGGGACTCACGCTCTCGCATCAAGGTTTATCTGTTTTGTTTTGTTTTTTCTTGAAACAAGTAGCTGATGCCATTTCAGCCAGTGTTTCAGAGCCCACCACTGTTTGCTCGGGTTGCCTTTAGGGCGTGTGGTGCTTAATCTGCAGACACCGCATTGCTTAAGAGGATGAAGGATAAAAGAAATTGGCTCTTTCCAGGAGCTTGCTTGGGGGAAACACGAGGATTAAATAAGCACGAGTGAGAAATGAGAAACTCGAAGGAGGGGACCCCTAGGAAGGGCTGTGATACCCCTTGAACTTGAGCAGATCAGCCCGAGCAGCATGTGACGCTCTCAGTCCCGCCAGCAGAAATCAAAGCCATCGATCTCGCTCTCAGCAACTTGTCTGTGTTGATTAACCCACGAGGATGGGCTCCCTCCTCCACCCCCAAAAAGATGTTTTTGGAAGGATAGGTGGGCTTTAGCTGCTGCTTGGTGGGCTTTGAAGCCAGAACTCAGGAATTTTAGGTCCCAGCAGCTTTACTTTGCTTCTTTCTTTCTCATATCAGCCAAAAAAAAAAAAAAAAAACAAGGTTTGGCAAAATTGGTTTGGTAAATTTAATTTCACGCTGGTGGAGAGGATTGTTTTTTTTTTTTAAAATCTAACCGCAGCTGAGCCCGGATGTCTCAATCAACCCTATTTAAAGCGAAAGTTGCGCTTCCCAGCAGGCAATCGGCAAACACGGCAAATTCAGCTGAGACCCAGTCAAACAATTCACGTTCCCGCGTCAGTCCCGGCGCAGTCGAGGCGAACAGCACCAGCCGCTCCTGCGACTGGGGCACGGCAGATTGTGACTCAAGCCTGGGGTTGGCTGTACAAACCCGTATCAAATTTTCAGCCCAGGTTATTTTATTTTTTTCCCCAGCATCTAAATAAGATTTCCAGCAGCTGTAGTTCAAGGCCGAGCAATGGGCAACTTCTCTCCCACCAGGGACGGCCCTGGCAGCCGGGGCGTTCTTTTCCAGCTGCCCCACAGATCTGCGAGCACAAGCAACGCCCCCGGCAAGCAGCAACCGTGGGCTAACAGGATTAAAGAGTGCAAATGATTTTATCTGTCATGCATGAATTAATTCTGCCGTGGGACGAATTAAACACCCCGTTTGAACTGCTGGGTTTGAGCTTTGCTCCTTAACTGTGTTCAGACTCCCGAGGTTGGGTAAAGAAAACCCAAATAAACAGAGCAGCGACGCTCCTTCGCCCAGGGTATTGGGGCTGAACACTTTTCCCCACCCCATGCTGGGTCTTGAGAAGAGTCTGGTGTGATTTAACCCACAACCACCTTATTTAACCCCCCGACACCAGCCAAACCATCAAGGATCCTCTCTGTCAGAAAGCCTGAGCCACCCCTCGTCCGTACAAACCACCTCAATCCCAGCTGGCAGCACCGACAAGCCCTACCAGGACTCTGCTGGTAACTGGCGCAGCACTAGGGGGGGAAAACTGGAGAAATCTGGGGAGCACTGGGGTGTCTTGCTCACCTGTATGGCTTCCTTGGGGTCATCGGCGTGGCTCGAATGCATCTCAGCTGCTGCCGCTCCCCGTGCCGGGCGCTGCCTTCACATGTCACCTTTGGGACAAGGAGGAGGAGCAGGTCTGAGCACCCATTTGGGTTTACATCTGACCAGAAGAGCCCCTGGTAAGAGTCACCCGCCACGCATTTCGCAAGCAGTCCCAGCCAGATCGCTGCTGGATTCGAGCTGGGACCGACCTTCGAAGCCACGCTTCACAGGGACCACAAGAGTTTCAGGCAAAACAGAGCACAGCCAAGAGACTGAGAGGGAGTAATTAACCCCTTGCAAGAGGGAGTAATTAACTCTCACCTGCAGGCAGCCCTAAACCTAAGCGGGACGCCGGGCCGGTCAAGCCAGGAGTGATGTACATAATGGCAGGGACCGCGTCCCTTGTTGCTACCTCACCTGCAATGCGCAGGCAACATCAAAACAGGCGTTTAGTGAGCGAGCCTGAACGAAGACACTCAAAAACCCAAGGGAATGGCGTTAAGGTGGCCCGGACGGAGGGGTGTCACCCCCCCAGCAGACCCTGGGCAGAGAGGGCAGCAGCTGCTCCCTCCATTACTCGCCAGAGGAGCGATGCTGCTGCCGAATCTGGCAGGGCCGGACCCCTCGAGGGTGCCCGGGCGCTCTCCCCGATGGCACGGAGCTGCCAGGGCAGACGGGACGGAAGGAATGAAGGAAGGATGTGGGTTCTCCATCGGGTTTCCAGTCACTCCGTTGAGAAGCAGGCGAGCCCCAGGATCACCCTGCTCGTGGTGGCTGCTCCGCTGCAGGGTTTGGTGGGAGAAAGAGAAAAAACCAGTGCTCTCCCACTATGGGGAACCGTGGCCAAACCAGAGCCAAGCGAGCAGCGGCAGCCTCGCTGGGGTCATCGGCAGCTGCAGGGGGTTTGCAGACAACAAGGAACCTTTCACTTCTGACCTCCTGCCCTGTTCTTCAGAGCCGTCTGCTCAAACCAAGCTGTGCCTGGAGGCTCCGTGAGGAAAGCACGCGGATGTCAGTGAGGCGCCCGGATGCATCCCCATTTAAACACAGCCCAGCCTGGGTGCTGACAAGGGTTTGAGAGCTGCTCCAGCACCAGATCCCACCACAAAGCATCCTCAGGATGCGAGAGGTTGGAGAAGAAATATATTCCCTTGAGCTGCCAGCAGCTGCCATCCAAGCAGAGAGAAAAGCCCAGCGGCTGACTGAAGGGTTCGGGGTCACCCACCGCAGACAGCGGGCTTGTTAGGACATCGCTACTTCAAATTTTAGTTCCAAACCAACGTCAAAACCCCAGAGCTTTCCCCAGGCAGAGCCAACAGCCTCAACCTGCTCCTCTCCCTGCACGAGTTGTCAAACCAGGGTAGAAATACTGTTTGCAGAACAGTTCCTACACAGCCATGGCCAGTCCTGAAGGCAGCGGTGATCCAAATCCAGAGCAGCTGGAATCTGGATCAGCCTAAACCTGGAGCATCCCAGACCTAGAGCATCCCGTGCACGCACCGCACCGGCCGGTCCTGCTCGGAGCAGCAGGTCAAGAGCTCTTTGGGGAAAAGCCCCTGATGGATCCTCAGCATTTCCAGAGCTCATGAACAAATTTCATAGAAAAGGAAACTGTTTTCATTGTGACTTGTCATAAGATTTCCTCTCTCCGAGTTGCAACACAAGAACTGGGCGAGCGCAGTGATTACAGCAATGTTACCCTCCGGCTCAGACGCTTCAGGCACTGCTGGGGCAGTTTCGCAGGGAGCAAGGGGACGGCAAGATGAATTCGAGGTGCAAGAGCTGGGGGTGGGAGACCCAAGGGTGTGGTGGCACAGGGTGGCATTTCTCACACCTGGAATGGGGGTTTCAGCACCCACCGTCTGCGCTCTTGGGGTCCCCAGCCAGTCCCAGGGGAGGGGTGACAGCAACATTTTGGCAAAGTCATCCAGATCTTACACTCCACTGCCGGTATCACCTCACCCAGCATCTGCAGGAGGTGAGACACTGAGAAGGACACCCGAGGAGGACACTCGCCACCTTCACCTCCACCACGACCAGTCCAACCAGTTTGTTCCAGCGCCACAAATCCACATGGCACCGCTTCTGTTGGGACAGCATTTTCCTGAGCAACAAGTGCAACAACCCAGCTCCACAGCTGATTTCATCTAACGCAAGTCTTCGGTGAAACGCTGAGGAAATCCAACTGGCTAGCCGGCTCTAGAAGGAACTGACGGGCTCCAGAGCAGATTCTGGAAAGCCACAGCTTTTCCTTGTGATCTTGAAAGGACAAGCGATGGGATAGATGTGCAAATGCAGAGACAAGCACATCTACGGTAGAAAAAAACCATCACCCCACACCATTTCCGAGAAGTCACCAGCCCAGGGGCTACGCAGGCAGAGCTCGAGTAAAACAAGGAATATAAAGCAAGTGAGAAATAAAAGCAGCGAGCAAGCTGGCGCGGTTTCACCTACCGAGGAAGAGAGTTATCGACGTGAGAGCAGAGCTGTTTATTTACCAAACTGCTGTAAACCAGCCAAAATTCTTTGGGAACGGCTGGCTGGAATCGAGCCTTGTACCAGGAGAGGCAGAGACCCTCGAGCTCGGCTCTTCGGTCTCCCAAACAAGCGACGCTCTCTGAGTTATAAATAAACAGCAGGGCACTGCTCATGCTTCGCCAATGGAAAACAACAGCCCACGACGGTGGCGTGAACCGGTGACTCAAGGCCTGGACGCAGAGCCAGTCATTTTCCAAGCACGAGTGCTGCCACCAGTCACCCTCCACCCCAGGGAAAATGAGAGCTTTGTCAGGACAATGGAGCGCGGAGCCGGTGTCGGGACAACCCTCTCCTCCTACTCAGCTTCTGCCTTCCCCCGGAGCCTGCGCACACCCAGCCACGCTTAAAATACAACCGAACTCGAGCAGAAGCAGCCTGGGAGAGGGAAAGCCAGCTGGTACAGCCAGGAGATTGGCTCATTGGGAGGATAAAACCCCTTGGAAATAATTTAGCGAGGGTTTGAGGCCAGCCAAGGGTGGCAGCAGGGCCCTTGTGCTCCAAATTCAGATCCTCCCCCGTGCCCAGCACCACCACGACGACACCTGCTACGGTAGAGGGAAAGCCAGCTGGTACAGCCAGGAGATTGGCTCACTGGGAGGATAAAACCCCTTGGAAATAATTTAGCGAGGGTTTGAGGCCAGCCAAGGGTGGCAGCAGGGCCCTTGTGCTCCAAATTCAGATCCTCCCCCGTGCCCAGCACCACCACGACGACACCTGCTACGGTGATGCAGGCACCGCCAACACGCCGCCCTCCTCCCTGCGGAAACGTCCTCCTTCCAGCTGACCAACCTGACAGGGGATGGCGAAGAACTGCTGCTGACCAACCCCTCCAACTTCTGCCCCTGAGCAGGAGGCCCACAAGGTAAAGCAGCCGCTGAGCTCCTGGTGCCCTCCTGGTGCCGCCTTCAATGGCAAAATTGTGTCTCTCAGGTGCTCGAAAACTAGAATTCCTTTTAGCCTGTTGCCTACTGCCGTACCAAGCTGCAACGTGTTGGAGCCACAGGTTGATTTTCCCTGGTGTCACAGGTGATGGAGCCACCACACAAGGGTGAAGCGGTTTGCGAAACCTGGGTGTGCTGCGGCGGGATGCTCCCGTCCTTTTATTCAAAAAAAAAATTCCCAGCGCTGGACTTTCCTGGTTGACTCAGTGGCCATCTGACCCGGCAGGCAGCTCGCATCCCTGGATGGGGGCAGAACCGGGAGCTGCTGGAAGTGAGGCGACAAGAAATC